AAGTCTCATCCGGGGTGAGAGGTCGATCGTATTTCTATTCTCACCCTGGGTGAGAATAGCCACTTCCCATTACAAAATGAGTAAGTAAATTAAATGGCCACCTCAATGATGAAAATAGGGCAGGCGAGTCTTTTTGGCTATTCTCTCCCAGTGTGCGTTCACCGTTATAGCCTAGATCTAGGCCAACCAATTTTGCGTTCACCCTGAACCACAGAATTCTACACTGTGACAACAGAAAAATTGTACAATTCTGTGCCGTGAACAAACGTTCCATTAGTACTATTACTACTATTAGCCTAAAAGTACAATTTTGTCTGTGGGCAGTGGAGAGAGAGAGAGGAGTAGCGCGAGAACTTCCGGGCAAAACAAAATGGCTACCCGCGTAGTTCGGCTCGATTTGAAAAGTTAAATAGCTGTAGCATCTTTGTAGATGACCAAATTAATTTACTTTTTTGTGTTTTAACATCATTTTTTAACTTTGGTCAAGTTGATCGTCCACACCGATAGACAGTATTCAGAAAGAGACAGAGAGAGAGAGAAGAGGAGAGGAGTAGATCTTGCGAGAACTTCCAGGCAAAACAAAATGGCGACCCGCATAGTTCGGCTCGATTTGAAAAGTGAAATAGCCATAGCATCTTTGTAGATGATCAAATTAGCTTACTTTTGTGCAATACCGTAATTTTTTCTTTGCTTTTATCCATTTGGTAATCCACATCGACAGAAAGTATTCCAAAATTAGGAAAAACAGGTCTTGTTTCACACCGGGTGAGAATAGCCAACGGTGGCAAGTCTCACCCGGGGTGAGAGGTCAATCGTATTTTTATTTTCACCCTGGGTGAGGATAGCCACTTCCAAATATCTAATATTTCTCATATTTTTAGTAATAGTTATGAGGATTTCACGGGGGCATGCTTCCCTGATCGGCTGGATTGTACTTTGGTGGACCCTCTAAGTTTACATGTTATTAACCCTAGAAGCGCTCAGCGTTTCACCGGAAGTAACCTGCTGAAACTGCTGCCACGGCCGATCAGTTGTAAACATGGGGGTATGGCGGAGGGATCAGCTGAGATACCCGAGATGTGTACCTTCTGAAAAATGACCATTTACGGCTCAAAAGAAGATAAAAGGCTTATAAAACCATATTTTTTCTCAAAGCTGATAAAATGAGCCATTCAAAAATGATAAGCGATCAGGTAGGCTAAATACGAACAAAGCGCAAAACCCGATAAACTCAACAATTAGTACAGCACGGCAAAACAAGTGATAACACATAGCGTGTAGTCGCTCAGTTAGACCGCGTCACTTTATTGATCGATATCTTGGCCAAGAGACGCTCTACGAGGTCAAGATAACTTGCAAAGTCATTACTTACTTACTTACTACCGGTTACGCCATCTGGCGTTTAGGGCAGCAACATAGGATCTCCAGCTCTGTCTGTTTTGGGCCATCTTAGACAACCTCCCCCACGAATGGTTCCAGGACTTCATTTCAGACTCTACTGTGCGTCTCCAGGTCACTTTGGGCCTGCCCCTCTTGCGATGTCCTTCGGATGTCCAGTGGAGGGCAGTCTTCACTATAGAGTCTGGTTCTCTTCTCAGAACATGCCCAATCCATCTCCATCTTCTCCTTGTTATTATGGTGCTCATGTCCTCTTGCCTACATTTTCGTAAAATTGGAAATCTTGTAGGGCCCGAAAATTCGTCGGATTTGGCGTAAGCTGGTGGCAAAGTCATTGGTCACTATTTATAACTTTGCCCTGTAATTTACTTAGTCATTATATTAGGAATGCTGAAATTTTCTATTGGAACAGGTCAGCGTCTCTATGCCCTTTGTATATATAGGGCCTGTGCACTTCCCGGTCGAAGTAGATCCGCCCTATTAATTATATATAGGCCTATATGGCCTGTGCATTTCCTGGGTAGCCCGGCTCATGCCTTTTTATAATGACCTGCGCGCTTCCAGGGTTAATGCGTACTAGCCAGAACAGTGAGGGGTTTCCTATGTTAGTGGGTGGTTTCAGCCCCCCTGACAACAATAGGCCTACTTTTTAAAAAACGCACGTGATCTTAATGCAAAACAATAGTATAAGAGCGGACCATAGCATAGCAAGGCTCAAAAGTAGTTCCGGTTTTGTTCATTGTTGGGTCCGCCAAAGTTCAATCTTACTCTCTGATCTAATAAAAAATATGGGGGGGGGGGCAATCCTGGATTTTACTATGATGTTTGGCTCGCCGTGCGCCAAACATCGTTTCTCAGCATGTGCAGTATAAAGTTAGAGATAATTTAGAACCAAAGGTAATCGGTGGCGCCCAAACCCATACAGTACTCCATAAACTAGTTATTGTCCAGGCCAAAACCAGATTCCCTAGAATTCTACAATGAAACTCGATAACGACTCGTTAGACTTGACCTTCAATTTGGTTGAACTCAATTAATTATAATCTAAGAACAACAAATTCTAGCATGTGTGCGACAACGTTTGTTTCCACAGACCAGCATGCAAGGGAGGAATTCCTTAACAAGTGACCACTGTGTAAAAAAATATGATAGAACTTGGGGTTAGATTCTAGGTCCCTTCTTTATTGTGTATGTTTAGGTGGTCACTCCTTATGGAAGTCCTTCTGCATGTAGGCCTACCTCATTACGACTCATCATACATACCCGAAATGCTTGTGCCCACCCTCCCCAAAATCACCCCAGACACAAGCACTAATGGTAGGATTCACACATGTGCTGCCCGCCCATCCAACCTCTCTCAACCCCAGCACACACTTAAGACACGTTATAATTGCTTAATACTCATCATGTCAACAACACATGTGTTGGTTTAAAAGAAAGTTTCTGATTGGTGGCTAAAGATGTACCCAATAGGTGCAAGTGCAATTGATGGTCTCTTGGAATGGAGTAGATAAGGTTTGTCCTGGGAGAAAAATGCTCGAAGCCACATCAGTGGGGGCTGTTTGAGGTGCAAGCAACTTTGTTGAATCCAAATTCGCTCTCATTCAAATTCTTTTAATCCAAGCTATTTGTTGATTTTATTGATTACAAACACAAAAAGAGGGGAATCTATCTCCTTGCCTTGAACTAGAGTTCTACTGTAGTACATAGTTCTATCATTGAATGAAAGAGGCGGAGGAGCTCAGTAAATCAACACTGCAGGTAAGGTGTTTGCTATTCAACTTACAGGTCCAGACTATTTTTTTTCTCATGTTTTCTACACCTCACAATCTGTCCAAGGGCTTAAGACTAGGCAGTAGATTCCAGAGATAGGATTGAGTTCTATTCTTCTTGAATAAGGACAAACAATTTCAGAAATCATGTATAAAAACTTTCTTTGGCAATTCGAAAAGAGTCTGCCCTTTCAGCCACCATTAGGACAAAATTGAAAATTTAATTCCAATTAATGTTTATTTCACTCTGCTGGTATACTGAGGCACTTTGCTTAGCCACCATACTGTCAAACCTCATTATAATGTCATTCCTCATTATTCCGCCAGCCCCGCTTAGCGTCAAGTTTTGCCAAGCCGATTGTATCAAAAGGAAAGCCTATATATTATTATTGTTAGTATTTTTGTGCTTTTACACCACCAACTCTCTCTCTCTCTCTCTCTCTCTCTCTCTCTCTCTGTCTCTCTCTCTCTCTGTCTCTGTCTCTCTCTCTCTTTCTCTCTCTCTCTCTCTCTCTCTCTCTCTCTCTCTCTCTCTCTCTCTCTCTCATGGAAGACCCTCCTTTCACATTGCTGATTTTGTCTCTGTAGGAACTATGAAATCTCAATTGTTTTTGTTTTTTAAAAGACAATTTATTAGTATGAAAATGATAACTGAAATCCTATTTATTTTGTCTGTCTAGAATTGTGTGCACAAGGACAGCTTGGAATCTCCACTCTTTTGTCCAATGCAAGGAATGGGAATGTGTCGGCGTTGACTAGCCTAAGGAGTTTTACATCACTCTCTCAAGGAAGGCCAGCAGTGGCTCCATGCATGTTTCAGTCACAGAGGTAAAGATCTCTTTTTACTCACTACATCACAAGCTAAAGACAATTAGTAGAACACATTTACACTAGATTACAATTACCAGTCTGGTTCCCACACATATATCTTACTCTTACAGTGATTTAATGATAAATTATAGGAAAAAGGGGAGGGAGCATATGATTGATTGACCCACACTCATCATAAGGACATTATTAAATAAGTTAATGATTTCAAATCACCACAAAATTCTTTGTCATATATAAGTGAAGGAGATACAGATGCCATTTACAGCTACTCGTGCGCTGGCCATTCACCCGACCTTCGCTGGCCCCTTCGCGCGCTATGCAAGTGTCAACAACGCATGTGTTGGTGTGGAGAAAGGCTTTTGATCGGTTGCATCAGATGTATACAACTAGCTAGGCTAAGTGTATCATGATCCATGGTGTTGGTGGAATCGATGTTCTCGGAGAATAGAGAAGGTAAGTTTTGTTGCAGGAGAAAAATGCGTGAAGACACTTCAGCAGGGGCTATTCAGCCAGCAAGCACTTCGTCGATTCCAAGTTTGGTCATAATTTATTGAATCCGAGAAACGGGGAATCAGTCTCCTTTTGTTGAATTTCAAGTTTTCGTTACTGTATACATGCAACGATTTTATAATAATAAATGTATAGCACAAGATGCATTTTCACTTGCAGACCCAAGAACATTCAAAAATATTTTCAGCCTCCCGGGAAGCATACAATAAAAGCAGCTGATTTTAAATTTAAAAGCGTTCAAACACTAACAAACTGACAAGATCTTTTGCTGTCTATAGCTAGGTATCCTTTCCCTCCTGAGTAAATGAGGAAATTTAAGTTAAAGTGCTTTTTTCAGAGACACACCATCAGGTGCCAGACGGGATTCAAACCCCCCGACCTTATGATTGCAATTGCAACCCCTCCCCCCCCCCCCCCCCCAAAAAAAAAAATTCCCCTGTCCTAGATGAAAAATGTCTAAGACTGATTTTTTTCTGACACTTTTGCTGTTCTGTCTTGGACAGATTCAACCGTACTTTCATTTGTTGTGACTTATTCCTATTAGTCACAACAAAGCTTTACAAGTTGTGTTCATCCAAAGACTGAATATCTTTTTAACTTTTCACTGTTACAGATTTTTATCTGCTTACACTAGGCAGGGGTTTTATTTAACATTATGTTGTTTTTTATAATCCGCTGAATTACTGAACCAGCTTATTTACTCTATGTGTCTGTTTCTGTTCATTTGTGTTCTTTACCTTTGTTTAGTGCATGTGTTTCTCTTACACAAATGAACAAACCATTTGTATCTTTTAGTCTGTCACAACATGTTATGTTTTCCATCTACAGCTTGCTCCAAAGGAAACAAGAAAATGTCTCTACAACCCAAGTACGCACCACAACAGTTGAGATGAAGCAATGGCGAGAGGGAAGGGTCATCAGCCGCTTTTACCGTCTAAACTGGGGAGGTTGGATTCGTACATTTGGAGGGCGCAGCAGAAAACTCTACATGAAAACATCTAAAGAAAGATGGCGGCTGAGGCAACATGTCTTTGTCACAAAGAAACAGTGCAAAATGCTTGATAAACTCGTAACAGAGCAATGGAGAGAGCCGAAGTTTTATGTGGAAAATGCGGAATATGACCCTTATCATAAAAGGACAAATTCTTACCATTTTCCCAATCACAGAAAATTTTATCCGTAGTCTAACATAATATCTGTTGTGGGAAGTTTTTTGCCATGTGATGTTATGGTTTGTGAAGAATGTTTGACACAGTTGGTGAGCAAAGCGTAAATGTGTTTTTATGCTTGATAACATAGTAAATGTTTGCAGGTTTTTTTCCATCTTCAGAGAGTCACTATGTTCTTCTGTATCACTGTAACAATAAGGATGACGAAAGCAATACTGAAAGAAGAGGTATGACAGAAAAGTACATTTTCTTTGAGAGGTAGAAATGAAGGTTTGCAAGCACATATATTATTTGTACATCTGTTTGAAGAAACCGAGATGTTTTGTTGTCATTAAATGTTATTTTGTAGAGATTTCACAATTTCATTTGTGGTCTCCTTGTGTTTGTTGCTCTTGTTAAACTGAACAAAGCAGTTCGGCACTGTGCTTTGACTCAAAATTGTTGAGAAAACAGTTTTAGTTTGAGAATTGAGCTCCTTTTCAAACACTGTTAATGATTAAAATTGTTTAGAAAGAGGAGGTGGGTGGTTGGCGGGTGCTCTGGTGTGGTTTGCTTCTTCTTTCCTATCAAACATCTATCATCCTGATCTCCCCTTCTTCTTTTTTTATGTTTGTTACTCTCTTGTAACACCTCTTATCTTCTGGCGCTCATATGACCTTATGCAGTTGTAGTGCCATAAAACCTCTACTAAAACTAAAAAACCTCTAATCTTCTGGCGCTCATATATATGACCTCATGCAGTTGCGAGCGCTGTAAAACCTCTACTAAAAACAAACAAAACAAGAAAGAGGAGGCACCTGGAGGTATAATAGTTATGTTTGTGGTACAGTGATTAGGCCCTTGGAGATCTTTGCCTTGCATGATGAAGGATATGAGATTTTTTCATTGTTTTCTTGCGTCCCTTTAGGTCAACTTACAGACAGGGTCAAAGCAACCCGCCTTTTAATTTAAATGATGTGGAAAAGTGGAAAACATTTATATTTGCCTAGCTGCAATATTATGTAAAAAAACATACAATTACAAGGGAGTCCTCTTACTCTGGAAATGATGGTAAACTGAAAGCAAATAGAATCCCTCATATTTTTTTTTCTTTGCTACAGTGAAACTTGGAAATAATGAACTCAGATGCCACAAAAGGACACAGATTCTCCTTTTTTTTATATATTCATTAAAATCAGCAAAATAAATTAGATTCCAAGAAGTCGCTTGCATGGCGAACAGCCCTCGCTGATGTGGTTTCGACATTTTTTCCCAGCAAGAAACCTTATCTACTCTATTCCAAGAGACCATCAATCGCATCTGCACCTTTGATTATTACATGCTTAGCCTAACCTATTGTGTACATATTATGCAACCAATCAGAAGCCTTATTCACAAGCATTCTGAGGACGGAACGTAAGCAGAGATTCTCTGTGATTCAGACAGGTTGTAGACATTCACACTCCTAAAACGAAAGATTGGTTTCAACTAAATTGAAGGTCAGGCCTGATGACTTCATTATATAGGAGTTTCACTGTACTATTTGGGCAATCTCTCTACACTAAAAACACAGTCACGGATACACCGAAGAAAATTTGGCGGCCCTGCAGATTTCAGTTTGAAACCAGATCCCACTGTATTTGATATGTTTTTGAGAGTTGGACTAGAGAAGACCATTTTTGCATCAGGAAATACAGTCAGACCCGGTTGTTTGTACTGTAGGCCTACCATCCCCCTTAGGACGAGCATGAAGTTGGCGGTATAATAGGAACAGGGATCCTCTGTTAGATTAAATGATTCTGTGCTGTGTGATCTGTGTTTGAAAAGTGTCTTTTTGTAGGGTCTTGTCTTATATGTATTCGGAGCTAGGGGTCTTTTGTCTGTATGCCTGTCTGTCTGTCTGTCTGTCTCTCCCTCTCTCTCTCTCTCTCTCTCTCTCTCTCTCTCTCTCTCTCTCCATGTATGTGTGTGTGTCTGCACTCACAAATTCCAACCCACGTTGATCATTTCTGGGAGATCAGAAGTTGAGCTGTATGTGTTGAGGTCCTTGTTGACATTATATCTACTATCTAGTTTACTTTTGCCCTATGCCCATTAATCCACTAGGATCATTGTCATGTCGACTTTGACCCAAAAAAGCAATAAAAACAAAGTTACAAATGAAAGTGGTACTGGTACATATATACCAAAATTATTTGTAAGAACAAGACCACGTTGCACAAGGAAAAACAAAATGAGTTTTGAAGATTGTACACGAAGGATCCATGAGAATCGAGGAGCTCACAATTGTGAACATGGTTTGGAATCGAAATTGAGAACATGATTTAAACTAGGCCCTATTTTAATTTATTGTCGCCTTACCCACCGGCTCCTGGTGGTCTTGGGGGTGCGCTTACTTGATCGCCAGCAAACCAGCGTCTGTGGTGTAGCGACGATCTCACAGTACAGTCAACCCGAGTTGGCCCTGATAGGCAGGGTCG